GATGCCTGCACAGCTTCTACCAATGGATGACAATGAGGTAGAGAGAGTGGTACAAAGGAAAATGAGGCACCAATACCAAAATAAGTGGGAATGAAAGATTGTGAGGCAGGCCAGAGCCCCAGTTGTCCCCCACATGAGTTGAGTGTTCCCTAAAATGCTCTTCATGTTTATACTGTGGGCCTTTCCAGAATTTTACATTTGTTTCTCTCCTCAGAGAGAACTTCCACCCTGAATGACTGCCCTATCCTCTGGGTATTCATGCAGAAAGCAGCAAGAATCCAGAATAATTACAAGCTGCTTTTTCTCTGGCCTAATGAAACAGCTTTCTCGTTGTTTGTGTTGTATTCATTTAAATACTTATCTATGTCTCACAATTGCATAATAATGATAATTTCTAATTTATCAAAGCAACATTATGCTAAAGTTTCAGATGCAGCAAGGGATAAGCTTGCCAAGATGCCTTATATATTCATAAATCCTTTACCCAGTCGGGTTGCTTTGGGCTATAAGTACCAGAATACCCAACTTGAAAAGTATCAGCCAAACAGCCAAAGAAGCGTTATAGATCAAATGGCCAGCCTTGAGTGCAAAAAACAATAATATGGGACAGTGCTTAGGCCCTATGTTCAAGCCCCAGTACCAACACAAAATAGTAATAACGATGACGGTGATAATGATAATACCAGGGCTAAAGCAGGATAGGAACTAGCCAGGTTTTTTTTTAAGTCTTTATTTATTCATTGATACTGGGTTTGAACTCAGGGCCTTGTTCTTGTTAAACAAGCACTCTACCACTTGAGTTACACCTCTAGCTGCCGCCAGTGATGTTCCTTTCTTCTTTCCTTACTTCAGATACTCAAGTCTTTAAGAGAATTTTATTCTCTATTTGTCTATAGTTGATTTTGATCAACACAAAGTTAAAGCTATCATAAAGAACTAATTTGTGGCTTTAACAATTACCAAAGTCGTTCTCGGCTAGGCACCATAGCTCAGGTGCCTAGATAGGTGGAGACTGGGAAATTTTGGTTCAAGACTCCATCTCAATCAGTGACTAAGCTCAGTGATCTACACGTGTCATCCCCAGTGACCTAGAAAAGCACAAATAGGAGGATCAAAGCCCTGGCCAGCAAAAGCATAATGTGAAAAACTAACTTTAAAATAACCAAGGCAAGTTGGGCATTGGTGGCTCACTGTTGTAATCCTCACCACTCCAGAGAATAAGATCTGAGGATCACAGTTGAAAGTATGCCTAGGCAGGAAAGTCTGAGACTCTTATTGCCAGTTAATTACCAAAAAGTTGGAAGTAAAGCTTTGGCTCAAGTGATTAGCAACAGACTTCAGCTTTAAAGTTAAGGAAAATTAGCAACAGACTTCAGCTTTAAAGTTAAGGAAAAGTGAAAAGTGCCCATCCCCCCCCCTCCCCCCAGTACTGGGGAAGGAAGAAGCAAAGGGAGGAGGAAGGAAAGGAAGACAAGCAGAGAGGGAGGAAAGGAAGGGCAGGGAGGAAGGGAAGGAAGGAAGTAGAAAAAGAAAAAGACAAAGAGAAAGGAACAAGGCAAAGAAGGGCTGGAGGCACAAGTGGAAGAGCAGCTGCCTAGCAAGCATGAGGCCCTGATTTCAATACCTAAGACACCCCAAACAAAAAAGTTCTTCCTTTTGTGCCATTTAAAGTTGTTTGGTTTTTTTTGGGGGGGGGAGGGGGCGCTTGAGAATGGGGCTTAGCAATAGAGTGCTTGCTTAGCATGCATGAAGCCCGGGGTTTGATTACTCAGTACCACATAAACAGAAAAAGCTAGAGTGGAGCTCTGGCTCAAGTGGTAAGAGTGCTACCCTTGAACAAAAAGCTCAGGGACAGTGCTCAGGCCTGTATTACAATATTGACTAGAACATTGGCTAGAATCTGCTAGTGGATATGTTCACATTTCCACTGATCGTGAGATATGAGTATTCTTATCCTGCCCTTCTGAGCTATGTACAGCTCTTCAAGCATTAACATGGCTATCTAGGAGTCTTCCAAAATGGTCCTTTGTAAAGAACTAACCAATTCTATCTCATGGTATTTTTCCTTTAGTGACTGCTACAGTTTGGGTCTTAAAAACTTATGAGTCAAAGGGTTAGCTTCCAGCCCATGGCAATATTGGGACAAGATAGAACCTTTAGTTCAGTTCTAGTGTGAAGAAAATTCAGTCACTGAGGACATGCTCTTTGTGTTTTGTTTTTTTTTTGGGGGGGGGGCCAGTCGTGGGGCCTGAACTCTGGGCCTGGGTGCTGTCCCTCAGCTCTTCAGCTCAAGGCTAGTGCTCTACCACTTGAGCCACAGTGCCACTTCTGGCTTTTTTCTTTTTGCTTATGTGGTGCTGAGGAATCAAACCCAGGGCCTCAAGCATGCAAAGCAAGCACTCTACCACTGAGCCACCTTCCCAGGCCCCTGAGGGCATGCTCTTTAAGAGGATATTAGAAAGCAGCTGTTCCTTTTTTTTTGCTTCTTAGCCACCTGAGTGAAGAGCTTTATTTTACCAGTCCTGTGAGACAAAATTACCCTTTCCTCTTCATAAGTTGTGTCTCTTAGGTATTTTGTAACCATGATGGAAAGCTGATTGATACAGCAATTATCCATTTAGGATTTAGGGTAAGAAGTAAGACTGTGCGTTAATACCTATAATATTAACATGTAACACATTGATATCTAATCCTGTTTGAAAAGTACCAAAGCAAAGGTCAATATATTTTTAGACTCTTTCAACTTCCCTGCTTACAATTTGTATAATTTGTTAATGCCTACATGTTTCAGTTTATCTCATCTTTGTTATCTTGTAAATGTATGCTCAAGTCCTTCAGGGTGGTTTTTGTGCCTGGAAAGTATATGTATTCGGAGACAACAGGTTTTTACTACTTATTCAATTTTACTGAAAGTATAATTTGTTCCCATCATAAATAAAATATATCCATTTTAGAGCATTTTTTCATGAGTTTTAGAAATATATAGAATCACTTAACTACTAGAAAGTTTTTTTATTCATTTCTGAGGTCTTCGTATCCCAGCACCGTGGATTCACTTTGTCAGTTTAGACCTGTTGTGGAACTTCTGGATGTATTCTTATAAGCTTTAGTGTAAGAAGCTGGCTTCTTCCATGTAATATATATGTATATGTTTGTGTATATGTATATATGTATGTTTCATATATATATTTTATATATATATATATATATATATATATATATCACATGCATATCAAAACACTCTTCCCACATGTCTTTTTAGAGGGATTCCAGACTGAAGTATTCACCCAGCACCCTCAGCTCTGTTGAATGAGATAGCAAAAAAAAAAAAAATCTGTAATCTAGAAAAACTTGTTTCAACTACCCCATGGCTGAATTTTCTGCCAATCAGGGTTGCCATCAGAACAGAGCCAGCAGACCTAGATCTCCACTCCTATGTGGAGCCTCAGACTGCTCACCAGGAAGATGGATGCCTACTCCCCCATCCCATGGCCCATTTCTGCTCTGCTTGACATGAAAATGTCCTTTATGTTCTCCAGCATCTGTCTATTCCCTCTTTCTCTCCTACCTTCCTGGACTCCCCTATGCCTAACTGAATGGTTCAAGCACTTAACTCCTTCCCAGCAATGAAGAACATCTCAGGCAAAGTACATTCCTGTGGAAGCTTTGGGCCCCAGGAGTGACTGGCAATACAAATTCCTAGTTCTCTTAGTTTAAGACAGTGTGAAGCCAGGCCTCAGTGGCTCATGCCTGAAATCCTAGCTACTTAGGAGGCTGAGATCTGATGATCATGGTTCAAAGCCAGCCCAGGCAGGACAGTCTGTGAGACTCTTTTTTTTTGGGGGGGGGGGGGGGTCCGGTCGTGGGGCCTGAACTCTGGGCCTGGGCGCTGTCCCTCAGCTCTTCAGCTCAAGGATAGCGCTCTACCACTTGAGCTACAGCGCCACTTCCAGCTTTTTTCTTTTTGCTTATGTGGTGCTGAGGAATCGAACCCAGGGCCTCAGGCATGCAAGGCAAGCACTCTACCACTGAGCCACCTTCCCAGCCCATCTGTGAGACTCTTATCTCCAATAAACCACCAGAAAACCAGAAGTGATGCTGTGGCTCAAGTGACAGAGTGGTGCTCACCTTGAGCTGAAGAGCTGAGGGACAGCATCCAGGCCCAGAGTTCTAGCTCCACGACTGACAAAAAAAAATTAAACCAGTGTGAGCTATATTTCCTTGCAGCTATAAGCACTGATTAACGAATGGAGTTGATCCACCCAAGGAAGGCCTTTAATTCTTCCTCTCTCTCCTCCTCTTGACCCCACACCACACAAATGGGCTCTGCCTCTCTGCACTGTCCCAAACAACTCTCCTGCATCTCACTTTCCCCACAGAATGTCACTTCCTTGTTACAAATGAAATCCTAAAGGTTGTTTCCTATGTTCCTGCAGGCAGGGACCCTTGCTTCTTAGGACCAGGCCCAAAACCATTTTTCTTCTACTCTAGGAGGAAAAAGAAAACAAGTAACTTTTCCTTTGAAGCTTCCTGATTACTTGAGTCTCTTAAGACTTAACACTTGTTTTACAGCCTTCTTATCCACCCTGACTCTCCATCTGACTTCTCCATCTCACCCTGACTTCATTCCATGTAATAGCCTGCATAGTTCTGTAGCCTATTACATATCCTATAGTTTCTTAGCTCACCCAACACTGACAATAGCTAAAGTATTACCATTTTGTTTGTGTGTGTGTGTGTGTGCCTGTCCTAGCGCTTGAACTCAGAGCCTGAGTGCTGTTTCTGAGCTTTTTGGCTCAAGGCTTAGAGCTCTACCACTTGAGCCACAGCTCCACTTCCAGTGGTTATTGGACAGTCTCGCAGACTTTCCCACCTTAGCTGACGTCCAACAACAATTTTCAGATTTCAGCCTCTTGAGTAGCTAGGATTACAGGCATGAGGTACCTGCTCCTAGCTAGTATTGCCCTGTTTTACAGATGAGGAAACTGGGGCACCAAAAGGCTATTTAGTCTGGCATGGAGTTACCAGCTACTAAATGTGCAGGCACACAGGGAAGTAAATTGCAGAGTCCAGAACTGACACAAGCACCAGCCTCCCAGTTCCTTATTCTGTTCTTTGTATTTGTAACATCCCCTTATCTAATCTGTACTGGTCCTGTGGAGGGGAAAGGAGGTCAGCACATTCTGCAGCTTTCAGTGGGCATCTGGGAGGTCTCCGGAGAAGCTTGCTAGGGGTGGCTCCATCCTTGTTGTCGATGCCTATACAAAGTCAGGTAAGCCAGGAAGCTGGGATGCTGCTGGACTTAAGACTCAATGGTAGAAAAGCAAGTTAGAAAGGGGTGAACAAATGCAGCAGTGGAAGAGGGAAAGGGTAACACGGGCCAAAAAGAAATGTACTCTTTACTAGACTTATATAACTGTAACCCCTCTGAACACCTTCATACTAACATTAAAAAAAAAAAAAGAGGGGGGAGGGGGTAAGCTGGGAAGGTGGCTCAGTGGTAGAGTACTTGCCTAGCATGCCTGAGGCCCTGGGTTCGATTCCTCAGCACCACAAAAGCAGAAAAAACTGGAAGTGGCACTGTGGCTCAAGTGGTAGAGCGCTAGCCTTGAGTAGAAGCAGCTAAGGGGGACAGGCAAAAGAAAAAGCAAGTTGCTTTCTTCCCCAACAGTCCTGGGGTTTTTTGTTTGTTTGAGGGGAGAGCAGCTACATTCAGGCAGTCCCACTGGCTAGGGCTGTCCTTAGCATCTACCCCTGTTCAGCACAGCACCTCACCCATATCCAAAACCCTTCCATCCTCTTTGCGCCACAGAGGTTCAAAATCTCTGTTCTCCCTTCCTCCCAGGATCTGAAAGAGCAAAGAGAAGGAAGTCAGAGGCTGGGAGGTGATGAATGGAGGGTTCCAGGAAGTGGGTTCCCCACCCTCTCCCCAGACAATCGCCCCAAAATGTAGCTTCACCCAGGACTACTCAGGCCCAGCCTCTCTCCCCTCCCACCTCCGGCTCCCATCTCCCTCCCCCTTCCTCTCCCTCCACCCATACCACTCCTCTACGGGCGGCTGTGGACTAGGCCTTCCCCCATCCACACGGCCAGCTACCGTCTTTCCTCACCCTCAGTCCTCCGGACCGCACGGCACGCGCATCCCCGGGTCCAGACACTGCGTTCTCCGCGGGTGCCGCGTGCGGCCCCGGAAAGCTGCCCCAAGCCTAGAGCTAACGAGCAGCCACAGCCTTCGGTGCTGCCCACCGGCCAAGCACGGCCGAGCACTCCATCCTCATCCCCAAGGAGAGGAGGCCGGTGCTGCGCGCGAGGGGAAACGGCGAGCCCCGGGGCCGGGCCCGCCCGGGGTCCGGGCTGCGTGAACTACCCGGGAAGCCGGTGGCCTCTCCAGCGACCTCGGCGTGCACCCGAGTGCGGGGTCACTCGGCCATCTCCGGGGAAAGCGGAAGGAGAAGGAGGAAACGAGGAGCCGGCCCGGGGCAGATCCGGGAAGGAAGGTGGCCTAGTCACCGTTACTCAGCACTTGGCCGAGAGGGGGGGGGGGGGGGCGGTGTGCACCATCGGCGAGGAATCCCGCCCTGCCAGCGCCGTCCTGGGCCTGACCCTCATCTCCAGTCTCGATAAGTCCGATGAAGGCCCGGCCCGATGCAGTTCCGCCCGCAGCGACCTCGGGGATCCCGGGATCCTGAGACGCCTGGCCCGCCGCGGGCCGCACACCGCAAGGACGCCCCGACTGCACACGGGGTCCACTCCCTTTCCCCCACCCGCGACGTTGGCGCCTAGGGGCTCCGGGCTGAGCGTGAGACGTGCCCAGTGCTCCACCCTGCGCCACTCTGACCACGCCCCCTAAGGAGGCCCCGCCCTCCCACCGCCTCAAGGTTTTGGGGGCGGAGCCTGCCGCCTAGCCTTGGCGGGCGCGGGAGTCTTAGCGGGCGCGCGCGCCCCCGCCACGTGCACGCTCCCGTCACGTGCACGCTGCGCGCGCGCGCGCGCCCCGCCGCGCTCCGCCCAGTCGCTATAAAGGGAAGGCGGGCTGCGCGCTCCTCTCCAGCTCGGTCCGGTACCTTGGATCCACTTCCATTCCTTTTTACAGTCGTTCCAACTCATCCGCAGCAGCCAAGATGGTGAAGCAGATCGACAGCAAGGTAAGTGCTCCTCGGGAAGGCCAGGGCGGGTGGCGCAGCCTCCGTAACTGGAGAAGGCCACGGTCTGGAGGTGTTGGGGAGGCCGCTCCTCACCTCCGGGGCTTGGGGGGGAAAGGGACAAGGTGGCTCGGCCTGGGGCCGGGAGGAGCTCGGGGCCCCGCCGAGGCTGTCGAGCATGCCCGGGGGTAGGGAGGGTGAGCCTGGGGGATTTCCCCCCCTGGAGGGCGGGGTCGTGGTGCCCGCCGCCCGCGCCCTGGAGGCGCACGCGCCCGGGGAGCTCCCGGGGGTCCTCACTACTGCATCTCTCACACCGCCGCCACCCCAGCCGGGAAGGCGGGGGAACGGAGCGGGTCCAGCGCCCCCACCCCCATTCCCTTCTACCTCCTGATTGGCGGCCTGGCAAAGAAGGAGATAGAGAGCCCCCTGGAGAAGGCGCGGGGTCCCGGCCGGGAGATCCGGCCGCACGGGGTGGGGTGAGTCCTCTTGGGAGCAAGTCCAGGCCGCAGATCTCAGGATCGCCCCTCACTCACTGGCTCCTCCGATGACGCGGTGCTGTCTAGGTGCTCAGGGGGGCGGGTCCCAACTGGGGACCCTCCTGCGCGTGCCCCCAGGTGGCTGCGGGGAAGTGAGGTCCAGGCCGCGCCCGCGGGACTCCTCCTCCTGCGGCGCAGGGCGCGTTTCCGGCAGCGCTGGCATTGGAATGACTCAGTCCCCAAGGCTGGGCCCAGGGGCCTCGCTGTCCTACCCACGTGTGATTCACCCAGAGTTTGGCCGAAAAACCAGAGCGGGTCTCCCCTACACACACACACACACACACACACACACACACCACACCACTACTCGCGCGCGCGCGCGCACACACACACACACACACACACACACCACACCACACCACTACGCGCGCGCGCGCACACACACACACACACACCCACACACGAGCAGCCGGCCTTGGCCTTCTGTATGAGACTTTAGACTTTAATTTAAAATTAAAAACCAAAACCAAAACCCTGGTGGGGGGAAGAGTGTTCCATATTCCGAAGTTATTGTGAGCCGACTATCGTCCACGTGTCGTTCGGTGTCTGCTGAACCGCGCCACTCGAGAAAGGTCTGTTACACGGCAAAGACAGAAAGCGAACGGGGGATAGTTGATGGAAGGAAGACCCTTGGCAAAGGGTGTACCCACGCCGCCAGTGCTCCCGCACTCCTGGAAAGCGGAGGGAAAGTTGGATGCTCACTCTCTGGTCTTGAACACCTGTCGGTGCTGAATGGGCTCCAGAAACAAGTGAATGATGTTACAATGTCTATGATGGTATAGGATCCTTTTGTTACTTCATTGATAACATTTTCTCTCACATGCTGTCATTCTGATCTCGTGCTGTCCTTAATCGTTGTCTTTCTGGAGTCTTCATTATTTAAATTATGTGAGCTTTTATGATAAAAGCAGAAGCCTTCTCATTTGTTGATTCATAGTTTTTAAAATCCTTAGCCAGGCGCTTCTCCTAATCCTAGCTACCTGGGAGGCTGAGATCTGAACATCAAAGCTCAAAACCAGCCCTGGCCAGAAAGTGTGAGATTCTTCTTATCTCTAATCACCCAAAATCCAGAAGTGGAACTGTGGCTCCAGTGGTAGAATTCTAGCCTTGAGCAAAAAGGTTTGGAGACGGCACCCAGGCCTGGAATTCAAGCCTCAGGACTGGCATGGAAAAAAAAATTGTTTTTTCTTTAATAGTGGGTCCTCACCCTTAACTTTGTGAGGAAGCAGCCTGCCTAGAAAGGGAGGGAGGGTGGGGCTCTCAGTAAAGAGCCCATTAGAGATGAAGACCTTTGCTTGGCCTATGTTAGTTTGCTTAGAATCCCATCCCCTAACACATACAAGACTGGTGTGGGTTCCTGAAGCTTGCGGTGGAATCTTCTGTCTTTGAGTTGTTCAGGGTGTGGTCCTTTCCAGTAAGGAAAATATAGGAGTTTGGGTCCCAGTGGCCCTGGCAGCAGTTGATCAGGAAAGTTTCCAGAGCCATCAATCAGAAGCTAATTAATCTGATTAAACAAGTATTGAATTTATATACATGTATTGAATACATTTCAGATTTGGCCAAAGTTGATGCATTTCGCTATCCACAGCCATGTCTGACACTCTGTGTGGGTAGTTCAGGGGCAGTGGGATCTGTTCCCAACAAGAGTGGGAAAATGAGCTGTCAGTGTGATGACCAAGAAGTGAGTATTCAACCTGGACTGGATTGCCTGTGCGTTTTTTGTTTTTCCTTTAAGGATGACAGCCTGGCATTGATGGCTCATGCCTGTAATCCTAGCTGCTCAGGAGGCTGAGATAGGAGGATTGAAAGGTTCAAAGCCAGACCAGGGCAGTAAAGTCTGTGAGACTCTGATCTCCAGTTAACGACACCCCTACCCCCAAAAGCCAAAAGTGGAGCTGTGGCTCAAGTAATAGAGTACCAGCCTTGGGGGGGGGAAAGCTCAGGAACAGCACCCAGGCACACAAAGAGTGACAGCTCCCTCCTGTTTACTTAACTCATACATGTATAACACGCTAAGCATTTAGATCTACTCCAACTACCTCATTTTATTTCCAGATGAATGATTTGTATTAGTGATGGGGAACATTGGTCAATCCTAATGGAGTTTCTGCGAATTTTGCTTGTATTCAACTCAGAACTATTCTGGAGAACCTTGACCATATTTGCAACACAGTGTGTTCTATCTTGAAAGTGAAACTGCAGTTTCGATTGAAGGTTCACCACATTCCAAAATTAAAATTCTGCCAGACCAGACATAGTCCCTGCTTGACCTTTTTACCATGTTACCTGTCTTGCAGAAAAGAATGGTTGAACCAGGTGTGGTAGCCCATGCCTGTAATCAGGAAGCTAGGGCAGAAGGATCCCAAGTTTGAAGCCATCCTGGGCTACATAACATGACCTTGTCTCAAAATTTCGAAAGGGAAGGAGAAAAGAAAGAAGGAAAAAAAGAAAAGACTGGTTGGCCCAACCTTCAAAGAATCGTAATGATGGTCTGTTTTCATACTTTAAATGTATTTCCTGTGGCATCCCCAACCCTTACTCCTGTCACCTCTTCTCACAGCCAAAGGTGGGTTGATGGACCTGTATAACTGGACAAATCACCAAGGTCATTGCCAGCCCTCCCTGATTCTCCAAAATCACAAAGTAATTAAAAATCTAGAAAAGTAACCGCACTTCACAGGAACTCATTATTGATGGTAGTGGTGGTGGAAAGAAGGAGGGGGGGGGGGTGGTTTACCTGGAGTTTTCTTTTGCTGGGCCAAATCTCATATGATTCTTGTGGAAGGAAAGGAATATTAATTTCATATTAACCAAGTTTTGAGGGTTTTGCCCCTGCCTGAAGAAACCCTAGACTTCAGCAGTGTGTTTTGATCTCTTTCTTGCCCCAGTTTGCATTTTGATCCTCACTGAACTAATTGTGGTTAAAATAAGTCCCTTGTTACTAGAATGCTAGGTTCCTAGTAATGAGTAAATAATTCAGGTTAGCCAGAGGGATTTCTTGATCATTTTGCTGGCAATTTTCTTTGAAATATGTTTCTTACATAGAATAAGATCTAAGGAAATTTACTTTGGTGAGGAACTTTTGCTATGATTTCCTTTACTGACCAGTGAGAGCATAGTTTTGAGCTAAGGGACAAAAGACAAAGTTTGACACACACACACACACACAGTAATGTCTACTGATTGTGTGTTGGGACTCAGTGAAGGTCAGTTCATCGGAATAGGATGAAGGAACATGCACTTTGGCATATACTCCCAAAGTAGTGTGTTTAAGTCATTGTATTTCACTTATACCTATTATTGATCCATAAGAATTCAATGAGGGTTGGGAAGGTGGCTCAGTGGTAGAGCGCTTGCCTTGCATGCATGAGGCCCTAGGTTCGATTCCTCCGCACCACATAAGCAGAAAAAGTTGGAAGTGGCACTATGGCTCAAGTGGTAGAGTGCTAGCCTTGAGCTGAAGAGCTGAGGGACAGCGCCCAGGCCCAGAGTTCAGGCCCCATGACTGACAAAAACAAAAAAGAGATTTCAATGAGTTTCTACCATTTACCTAGATTTAACACTTTTTAGTGTCAATGCCTATATTTTCTTTTTTTTTTATACTTAGTTTGTTGAATATAATTTACCTGATTGTCAAAATTTTTGTAAAACAATCCTGAAGGTACAAACACCATGTTCTAACCATGTATCCTGTTTCATCTTAACAAATGTAGTAGCGCCAAGGATAGGTAGAATTTTTTTAAGATATTTGGCCTGTATGGGAGTGAAAGGCAAAGTGAAAAATAGATCCTATTAACAGTTGTGCTTTGTGTTGTCAAGTCTCTGTGGTTGTGGAAAGGGAACTATTGAACCTAAGCTTCTCTTGCCCATTTCCAGGATGCCTTTCAAGAAGCCTTGGACGCTGCAGGAGATAAACTTGTAGTAGTTGACTTTTCAGCCACATGGTGTGGGCCTTGCAAAATGATCAAGCCTTTCTTTCATGTGAGTAGTAAAGATGGGTGATTTCTAGTTGGTGGCAAGGAGGATGGTTATTAAAGGGTTTGGCGATTTTTAAATTATTATTATTATTAGTCTCTACTTACATTAAGAGTCTACTGAAGAAGCTTGAATCTATTGAACTGCCATTTGCCCGTTCTAAATCTTTTCAAATTTTTCACTTAAACTTCTCCAGGCCCTCTCTGAAAAGTATCCCAATGTGATGTTCCTTGAAGTCGACGTGGATGACTGTCAGGTATGGAGTTAGGAGTTGCAGATACCACTGAGCTGCACCTATGGGCCTTTTTCTCTGAATTGCACTGTGCTTTTTTCCCATAAATGTCAAGGGGTACTAAAGCTAGAGCCCTATCAGAAATGTTGTACTTCAGAATAACAGGTAATTGGAATAATTGTGGGCTTAAATCTAAATGTCAGGAGCTATGTACATGACATCCTTAAATCAACATACAAGCAGATAAAGGTTCAGGTGACCAAGGCCCACACAGACAGGTTGCCCGTGGAGCCATAGAGCCAAGACTGCAAGTGAGGGAGTCTGGCTCACTCACCTTGCTCTTGCCACCACACTTAGAAGATGCTGACTTAACAGTGGGTGCACATCAGGTTTTCAACATAAAACCTTGCTTCTCACAAAGACCCCTCACCTGATAGAGCCTGTTTTCCATGGAGCACCTTAGCCCTCATGGGACAGAAGGTATTAAGACTACATGATGTTTCCTTAAAGGGCTATGTTCCAGTCCTGGCTCATTGGCTTTGCTCTAAGTTAATCGTCAGATCATCACACTTGCCCTCAGCTACTTCCCAAAGTTACTCTTTGCTTAGCAAGCTTGGAATACCACATGAAGGTGCTAGAGGGTCACTTTAATCAAGTGTACAGCGGGGTGTACTTCATGGAAGCTTAAGACAAGAGACTTGCAGAAGGAGCCATAAACATGCGTATAGGAAGGAATTACATTGCAGGTGTAATGGACCATTAGAAGGCCTGGATGTATAATAAGTTATACAGGGAAAATTTTATATTCCTACTCTATCACAAAGTAGTTTAGTGGGTTTTGGAACCTTTCGGAATGCCATGATTAGAGGAGCCATGGATGAGTTAATAAAATTAATTTGGGCTGGAGTGCTAACCTTAGAAACCAATGAATTTTCTTTTCGTAGGGTTAAGTGTAGTCTTTTTGTATACTGAAAAATCTGCGACTGGCTGATAAGCTTGGAAAACAAATGACCATTGGCCGGACTTGGAATCAGATAGAATTTGACTATAAAGCATCAGAGGAAGGAATATTCTGGGTCTTAGGGGGCATGGCCGAATGGCTATGCACTGCTCAAAACTCTCTTATCACTTGGGCATTCTCTAAAATATCTATATGTAATTATTTACAAAAAATAAAAAAGGAAGTGGAGATATCACCAGAATAGGCTAGCTTTCTGCTTTTAAATGATAAGGATAATAAATTTAGGTGAAGGCTGTATAACCATATATTAATAACCAAATACAGTTAAGATATTGCATCTCTATTTCATTCTTTTGAGGGGAGGGGGTATGCCTGGAAACACGCTTTCTCCTATTATCTTCTCACCTTTTTCTCTTTGGTCATTGAGAAAATGGGCCTGGAAATTTCATTCACAAATGTCAAATCTTAGAGTCCATGTTTTTGATGGAAGAGGTAGGGTAGGGCAGGGCTGATGGATTTGATTACACGCACCAAGGTGGTCAGAATCATCATAAATACTGGTGAACAATTAGAAATTCCTTAGGAAATACTTGGGACTGTAAAATAAGCACACTGTCTCAGCAATTCTGTATCTAGGGCTGATGGGGAATTAAACCAGTGTATAGAGATCAAGATTGAACATGTTTCGGTGAGGGAAAATCTTGATGAGTGAATTGGTTAAAATGCTTGTGTATGCACACAGGACTACTGTGGCATGTAAGAAAATGATGTATGTGTTTTCATGCGGAATGTCTGTATGTCCATTATATGGTGTGTGTATTGTGTGACAGTGCATTCAGTGGGGGCTTCAGAAAGACAGGTGCATATTCAGGTACTTAAGTAACAAAACGTTAACAGTAGCTAATGAAGAATGTGGATAGCTTGCCCCTGGTAACTTTTCTGCATTGAACACAGATTTTACTTCTATAATTATAAAAATTATAATTTTATTATAATTATATAAATTAGAATTTAAAATCCTCTAAATCCTAGCAGTACTCCTGGGAAGTTTCTGCCCCAAGGATGTACCTGAGAATGGTTCACAACAATATAGACATAAATTGGAAATTAGCTTAAAGTCCAGTGGATAGAATCCTATGTCAACCTTAGAAAATCACTTCTATTCAATGAAATGAAGTTTTAACTAAAAATGTATATATATATATATATATATAAAGATGTGACTAATTCTCAAAAGTCAAATGTAAGAACAGTCTGTCTCAATTAACATTACCTATGAGCATTTGTCCTTTCCCTTTTTTCGCTGATATCCTTGCAAATTCATAGATTATCTGGCATCTGATAATCTGGGTGTGTCAATGACTCCAGTACCTGACATGAGTAGACTATGGCTTCAAATCACTGCAACCGGGTATTTCTGCTAAGACCTTGGATTCATGTCTCCTCCTCCCCATCATAAACTGAAGAAACAAGAGCAGTGAATTCTGAAGAGTTCATTTGTAATCCTGAGTCCAGGGACAGAATTTGTCAGTGCTTGTTCATGATACTCAAATTTTCCAAGAACTTAAACAACGTACCAAATCACTTACTTAGTAGCAGATGCTAGTAGCTGTATACCTGTTGGTACCCGCCCCAAAAATAGATAATTGAGGATATAATCAGTATGGCTTTTGTGCTGCCATTGCATTCATTATATTGATTTTTACATGCCAAATACATGCCCTAGTAGAGAAATATATAGTATATAAAAGGGAAAAGAACCTGCTTGGGCTCTGTTTCCATCAAAGCCTTGTACTCATGTTACTGTTTTTATTCTCTCCTCTTTTCTCCACCTCCCGGCTGCTCCAGGATGTGGCTGCAGACTGTGAAGTCAAATGCATGCCAACCTTCCAGTTTTTTAAAAAGGGTGAGAAGGTATGTACATCTGATCTTTAACAAAATGAATTGCACAAGAGGTTAATGTGGTGGAAATGACAAAAGAAATGACTCTATGAAGCATGTTACTGTTTGAGAATATTGAGACGTGACTCAAACTTCATTGATTTAAATACATAATGTTGTCCTTAATTGAAAATTGATTAGAAATAGACACTAAATCCCCGATTGGTGCTTCATATTATATCATGACTTACTATACTGCCTCTCAGTGTATCAATCTGAGTACATATAAAGTAATGGAGCCTTAAAATGATGGAGTTCTGCTTTATCTAAAATTAAAGAACTGACGTCTCTCAGTACTATTGATTGCTATTTCCCTCCTTTTGTTTCTTTGTTTTGTTTTTTTGTGCCAGCACTGGGGCTTGAATTCAGGCCTTTTTCATTCAAGGCTAACACTCTACCACTTGAGCCACAGCTTCACTTCAGGATTTTGGGTGGTTAATTGGAGATAAGAATCTTAACAGACTTTTCCTGCTAGGGCTGGCTTCGAAACATGATCCTCAGATCTCCGTCTCCCGTGTACATTACACATTGTGGCCAGGGGCTGGTGGCTCAACACCTAATCATCCTATCTACTCAGGAGGCTGAAATTGCAGGATCCTGGTTCAAAGCCAGCCTGGACAGGAAAGTCAGTTGAGACTCTTTATCTCCAGTTAGCCACTAGCAAGCCAGAAGTGGTGCTGTGGCTCAACGGGTAGAGTGCTAGCCTTGCCAAAAAAAAGCTCAGGGACAGCACCCCATGTCCTGAGTTTAACCCCATGACTGACCAAAAAAACAAATTCGGGGATGCTCCCCCCGCCTGTGCTTCCTTTATGTTTACATCTGTGTCTGATGTCAGTTCACTATTCTCTTAACAGGTGGGAGAATTCTCTGGAGCTAATAAGGAAAAGCTCGAAGCCACCATTAATGAATTAGTGTAATCACATTTTCTGAAAAACATAACCAGTCAGCTGTTTGAAAACTTGTAATTTTTTTTAATTTACAAAAGTATGAAGTATGGAAACTATATACCCAACTGCTATCTGATTATAAATGACAATAAAATATTAATTCTACCCTTTTTAAAACTGCCTGGTGTCTGAATAGTCTTCATCAGTGAGAAATAGCCATACAATCCCTTGATTATTTTCTTTTAGAAACAGTTCACTTTCTGATTAAGATTTTTAAAAATTATTACTCTTTAAGTAGGCTGAGGTCTGTGGATTGAGGTTCAAAGCCAACCCAAACAAGAAAGACTCTCGTCTCTCCAATTAGCCACCAAAATGTCAGAAGCAAGCCTCAGTACTGGCATACACAAAACTGTTAATACTAACTTAATGTATTTCTAGAGAAATCTTTTGTTATGGATAATGCAAATGATAGAATAGTATGTTAGGATTCAAGTAACTTTTTTTTTTTAACCTTTATAAACAAAGAAAATCTGTGTCCTAGCAGGTAAGTCCACTATGCTGTCTAAAAACTCAGTGTGACCTACATAAGAAGCCCCAACCTGAGTGGCAAAGTGCATAGAAATACTCATTCAGTGCGACGGTTCTTTGTTTTCCTTTTGTTTTGTTCATTTATCTGTCTTTGGAAGGGTGGGGTGAGGGCACAGACATGGAAGGACAAAAGGTGAAAAGATGCAGTAGGTACTCATTGGAAACCATGTTGAAAATGAAATATACAACTTGTGGCTGGGTGTTGGGAGGGAAAAACTGGGAGACAGTGAGGGAAGGGGTGACACTGTCCAAAAAGAAATGTACTCTTTACCTGAATTGTGTAACTAACATCTCTGTATATCATCTTTATAATACCAGTAAAAAAAATTAAAATTATTCAAAAATTATCAAAAGAACATTGTTTCTGTGTACTTAACATCAAGGGGCTGGGGAACTGCTTGAAGAAAAGTTTTTATATTTAGTGATGAAAATCAAGCCCAGGGACTGGGAAGGTGGTAGAGTGCTTGCCTCACATGCATGAGGCCTGGGTTCGATTACTCAGCACCATATAAACAGAAAAGGCTGGAAGTGGCACTGTAGCTCAAGTGGTAGAGTGCTAGCCTTGAACTGAAGAGCTAGGGACAGCGCCCAGGCCCAGAATTCAAGCCCCTCGACCGGAAAAATAAAGCCCAGAGCCAATGGTTCATGCTTACAATCCTAGATGTTCAAGAGGTTAAGAGTCATGTGCCAGTGTCTCATGCCTGTAATCCTAGCTACTCAGGAGACTGAGATATCAAGGATAGCAGTTTGAAGCCAGCTTAAAAAGTCCCAGTGAGACTCTTATCTCCAATAAACAACTCAAAAAACAAAACAAAACTGGAATTAGAGCTGTGGTTCAATTGGTAGAGCACTAGCCTTGAGCACAAAGACTCAAGGACAGCCCCTAAGCCCTGAATTTAAGCCTCAGGACCAGCAAAAAAAAAAAGTTCAGATCTGAGAAATGCAGTTCAAAGCCAACCCTAGGTAAGACAGTCTTTAATAAAGACTCATCTCCAGTAAATACCAAAAAAGCCAGAAGTGGCTGTGTGGACAATACTAGCCTTAAGCCAGAGTCAGGGACAGCACCCAGGCTGTGAGTTTAGTTCTGTCAAAATTACAGGATTAGTCTATATAGTAGGCAGTAATCCTATGTGGTATTGATACTGTAATCCCCAGTTAGTAATGCTGACACAATGAGGTAAGTAATCCATCACAAATAATGGAGAAGCTGGGGTTTGATGCAGGAAGTTTAGCACCAAAATGCACCTCTCCGCATAGCTTCATGCCTCAAGTAAAATTAGAGTAATAAACAAGTGATCCTGGAAAACCATTAGCTGAATGAATGTACTGTGTTAGGCTTGGGGTGCCATTCTAAATAAGACCTTTATCGTCTTACATTCCAGAAGGGAGGGCAAACAGGTGAGTAATTGGTAGGTTCTCAGGCTGAGAGGCCCAAGTCAGTAGATTGCTCTTAATAGCAGAATGGAGAAATAGATGTGCTTTGGATAAGGTGTTGGGGTGAGTTCTATGCAGTGACGGCACTAAAATTTGAGAGATGAAAAGGATGACAAGCTAAGAGCCAGGGAGTCTGCTTTCAGTGAGAGAAACAGGCACAAAACCCCCAAGTTGAAGAGCTAAGTGCATTTAGAATTGTCCGTGAAATAAAGCTAGAAAGAGGCAGGACCCAGTCCAGAGCTTGGCTTTTTCTGGATGTGAATGGGGAGCCATTGACCACCTAACATGCTCTGAAGCAGCTGTTTTCACAGCTGTGAGGTAGTGGCAGTGACTAGAAATGAAAAGCAGGTTTCTGCAGTCACTGAGAAACGTGTAAGAACTTACGGTGACTGGAGAGGTGGGGAGGGAGGAAGTGGTAGAAAACAACTATGACGAGAATGAGCAAAATAGCAGCAAAAATCAATTGATGCGCCAGGCACCAGTGGCTCACTCGTGTAAATCCTAGCTATTCAGGAGGCTAAGATCTGAGGATCTTGGCTCAAAGACAGCCTGGGCAGGACTGGTAATCTCCAACTGACCACCCAAAAAGTGAAAATGGGGCTGTGAAGAATTTATACCTAACACACCCAAGGATGGAAAACTCATCGTGCCTGCGCCCTGAGAGCGTCCTGTGGCCATGCAGCGAGCCCGACCAGTGCACACCTGCAGACCCAGGTTACAGATCAGGAACGCGAGACCCCAGCATGACCACAACCCTGCTGGCCAGCTCAAAAACAAAGCCAGGACCTGTGAGTACCTCCACGGGGGCCAACACTGATGGTGACCCAGAGTGCGCCCTCCCTCCTGCCAGAGAAAGGGCACCATGCTTCAAGAGGGCAAAGAGGCTGGAGCCCTTCCTGCCACCACCCCTCCGCTTCCTGTGGAAGACCACTGGGCCCGAACCCTGGTTCCAAGCCAGAGAATTTCAACTACCAGCAGCCCCTCGGACCACTTTTGGTTGGGCGCTGGGAACCTTGCATTCCCCACAGCTGCAGCTGATGGCAGAGAGGACCATCTCCCCACACCGCCCACCCCCTGCAAGGCTCACGCCTGTCCCAGAGGCCAAACACAGCCCCCCACCACCCCACGCGGAATAGACTCCAGACGGACTGCAGCAGGACAATTTCCCCACCTCTCCCTATAGGAACTCGCCCACTCTGAGACTCACACACCTGAGATTTGAACACAGCTCCCCACTCCGTGGAAAGTACACACCAGTCTGGGACTGGCGTGTGGACAATTATCCCCACCTTGCTCTATAGGAACCCGCCCCCTCTGACGCTCACACCCGAACCAGAGGTTTGAATGCAATTCCCCACACCAGTTCAGGACTCAGGTGGGGCCAATCCCACTCAGGTGGGGCCAACCGCCCCCCCCCTTAATGCATAGAGGGAATCTTCCTCCCCTCCCCCCTCAAATGAGGTTCAGGTGCTGGTGCCTACTCCAGACACAGATCTGGGCCAGATCTAGAGTGCTGAGCACCATACAATAGACCTAAACCCAGACCAGGACACCAGACTGTCCTACACACCACAGAGCACCAACAACTGACCAGGACCCATTACATTGTTTGCACCACCCTGAGCTGAGCGTAGCCCAATGCAACGATCTATCTAGTGAATCACACTCCATCACCACTGGACGCAATACACAATCTGAATGACCCCAACAAACCCTGAGCCCAATATGTAAATCATAACAAAGGATTACAAAATTCTTGAACAATCAAGACAACAAACCAAATTCAAAAGCCTGCAACAAGCCAGGGAAGGACTCTAATGAGAGTGAAGAAGAGATGGAGGACAAAAGGATCATTAAAGTAATGATGAGAGAATTGGCCAAAGAAATAAAAAGGGATATCCAAAAACAGAAGACTACAAGGAGGAAATGGCTAAGAATATACCAGTCACCCAAAAAGATATGGAAAGATAGAAATCCCATACACCTCATTAAAAGATGAAACTAATACCCTGAGAACTAACTTCAACAAAGAGCTTAGAAGCACAAAAAGTCTCAATTTCCCTACTGCAAACCACAGTTGAAAGTGTAAGCAATAGAATAAGTGAAATAGAAAATAGAGTATCAGGAGTTGAAGATAAAATAGAAGAATCAGAACAAAAAAAACCCAAAGACCTGGGAGAAAACACTCCGAACATCCCAAAGGGAGTCTAAGAATTGGCAAATTCAGACAAAAGATCAAATCTACACAGTTGGGATAGATGAAGGAGAATTCAAACTTAAAGGCATTGAAAACCTATTCATGAAATAATAGCAAAGAATCCCCTCAGTCTCAAGAGAGAATCTCACCCACCTGACAAAGGCATACAGAACTCCTACTAGACAGAATCCAAGAGTATTTGTAGACATAGTGAAAACTCTGGACTTAAAAAAATCAGGAATTAATTTTAAATGCAGCAAGAAGGAATTATATTGCAAGGGAAAGATCAGAATCACTGCAGATCTCTCTACACAAACTCTCAATGCAAAGTGAGCCTGGAATGGTACAATTCAAGCCCTGAAGATCAACAACTGCCAACCCCAAACTGGTGTGCCTAGAGAAGCAATCATTAACAATTGATGGTGAAATTAAAACCTTCTACAACAAACAAAAATTAAAGGAATTCATGAACACTAAACCAGAACTACAAAGAATACTAAAGGGAAGCATATAATCAGAAATAAAACACTCAAAGACAAGGAAATACAATATTAGACAAAAATCACTAGAAGACTAGTTTAGCAAACACAGGAAGAGGAAAGAACCAAATTATTAGAAAACAAGAAAATGACAGGAAACATGACACATCTCTTTATAGTAACCATAAACATTAACAGATTCAATTCCCTACTCAAAAGACAAAACAGCAGAATTGATCAACAAAACAAGATCCATCATTTGTTGTCTCCAAGAAAGCTATCTCACAGTCAAATAAAAATAAATTCTGCTCAGGAGGCTGAGATCTGAGGATCATGGTTCAAATTCAGCCAGGGCAGGAAAGGTCCAAGAGTTTTTTTTATCTCCAATTAACCATCAGAAAACTGGAAGTGGTTCTGTGGCTCAAGTAGTAGAGTGCTCCTTGAGCTGAAGAGCTCAGGGACAGCACCCAAGCCCAGAG